ACTATATGAGGATTATGCCCACTATGCTTGCCAATAGCCACAACACTCATGGAAGGCACAAAGAAAGGGAAGAAAATGTGCGTTAATAGGGGAGGCTGCAGTGGTCAAAGACAGCTATTTGAACCTGAACCTTTAGATTGAACTTGAACCTTTAGACCTTTACCATCTTTACATCAATTTCAAAACATATTACATTAATTCCAAAGCAAGATTGCAGCCCAATAAAACTTTCTAGAAGTTTTGATACTCCAACTGTCTTCTTGATTTTAACCCTTTAGGAGAAATTTAATGAGGGAGATACTTCCTACCCAGTGGATATTGACTTTCTGGGGAGAAGTATCAAAACTGAAAGTAGCTTGTGGCTTCTGAGCATGTAGTTTTCATCCTCATGCATTCATTATAACTTGTGTGAGCATATATATGCCAAGTTTTGTGTCTGTTTTGCTTTCCCTATACAGTCATACCTCGTGTTGCGTTAGGTTCATGTTGCGTCTTTTTGGCTTGCGAACGCGGCAAACCCGGAAGTGTATACTTCCGGGTTTCGACGCATGCACAGAAGCATTCTTCGCGCTTCACACATGCGTAGAAGTGCTCTTTGTGCTCTGCGCTTGCTTAGAAGCGCCGCTCTAGTTGCGGACTTTTCAGGGTGCGAACGGCACCCCGGAATGGATCGTGTCCACAACTAGAGGTACCACTGTATACAATACCATGTTCCCCAAAGTGAACTAGTATCAGTGTCAGAATTCACTCTGACAAGGCTTCATGTTTTCTGCAAGCCACAATGAAGTGTGTAATGCACCTCCTTGTCAGTTTTTGATAAAAGTTTTGATTTATTGCTACCCAAGGCTGTACAGAAGATCTAAGTCCTATGACCAGCTCACTAAAACCCTGCCCCCCCAGGGCAGGCTAATACGACTCAGATTATTGTATCATTGGGGGAAAGTGTTCCAATTTGAAAAGTCCCTGAATGGGGGGGGTGCTACCAACTTGGACTGAGCAGTACTGACAAGTTGATTGAGTGGTTGGTGGTGGCAGAGTTGCAGGAACTCTTAGGAGAAACCAATTTGAAAGAGTAAGTCCAGTTGGTTCAGGGCAGATTTGGGGATTTCAGCTTTTTTTTGTTGCCCCTCATGGATTATCTGAAAGGGAAAGTGTGGTCCAGCACATTCTTTTGATGTTCCATACAATAGACCATCATATCCTTTGGGGGCAGCTTAATCAGTTAGGATTTGGAGGCACTGCTCTTCTCCTACATGATTGGTCAGAATTGGAAGATAGCAGTGGGTGACTATTGCTCAACCCTTTGGGGATTTATATTGTGGCATAGCAAAAAGTTCCATCTGTGATCTCTTCTGTTTTTTAGTATCTATACACAGATACTTCAGCCAATCATTCAGCAGTTTTGGAGTATCTTAGGTATGACACCCTGCTTTATCCCCCCCCCCTCGAATCCAGGAGTAGCCAGGTCTTCCCTGTTCATCTTAATGAACCAGCCTCTACTGGGTTAGAGAGTTATTCATGAGGCTTCACTCCCCTTAGAGTAGCAAATATCCAGCATAGGAATGCTACTTAACCTTGCCTTGCTCCTTGATCTCAGGTGGCAGTCATGATGAGGAACACTCTTTTTAATCATTTAGCTTGGTGAGCTGACTACACCCTTTTTTCTCTTACAAGGATTTTACTTCAGTCACCCATGCTTTGTTCCCATTTAGATTATTGCAATGTGCTTACTTATTGCTGCCTTTTGAAGTCTGGTTGGAATTCAGCTGGCCCTGAATGTGGTAGCTTCCATATTAAATGAGGGAGGGCCCCAGACAGTGTAGAACTCCAGTCCTGGGCTTCAACAGCCATGGATCCTATTCTGCTTTCACGGCCAGTTCAGCATGTTGGTTCTGATTTTTAGAGCCTTCATGCTTTAGAACTAATTTCTCTAATGTATTTTCTCTAATCTCTGCATTCCACCTGCTAAAATAAGGTTAGCAACAACACAGGGTAAGGCTTTCTCAGTGGCAACATTTCTGTATGGAATACACTTCTTCGGAAGAACTGCTTCGATCTATCCTTTTTATTTTTCTGTCTGCGTGTTAAAAAACTTTTTTTATTTTTAAATGCATTTCCCATTTGGCTGGTGAGTGTACTATGCAACATTTCCCCCCTCTTGGAGTTTCTTTAGGAGGCATGTTGGGATATGAATTTATTTATTTTTTAATTGGCCCTTTTTAGTTTTAATGCTTTTGAACTTTTGAGTGAAACATTTTGGTAGTGCCTTTTGAGTGCAAGTTGACAGAGAATGACGTTTATCACCTGGCACATGTCCAAATTCTGTTTCCTAAATAGCTGGTATAGAGCTTAGCTGTCCACTACATGTTTTAAAATTATCTGCATTTGTAGAGGTTGATATGTTTTGAATATAGCTTCACATTTATAAAAATCCCTCTCAACTTCATGTATAAGTAGGTTTTGGTCAGCTCTGGCATGGAGGTTTGCTGGCTGAGTTAAAACAATTTCTGTGCTATTTTGTGCCAACCCATACAAGGAATAGCCACACATTCTAGAGCTGACTCCACCTGAGAGATGCTTAAAATGTCCTCATCACATTTGAATATGTTGAAACCTTGGAAATTCTGTGATATCTGTTGGATGCTGCTTCCACCTAGTGGACACTCTGAAGGTATTGCATTTTATATTTCAGTAAGTTTCACAAACCCTTGTCAAATATTAATTAATATGTAATTCTAATGAACAAGTACATGAGCAGATATTTCACTGTGGCACAAATATGTTTAAAAGGCAGACTAAGAAATAATTGGTGGTGTTCTTCCAGTCTGAGATGGCAAACCAGGGGAAACATCCATTTGCTGAAGGAACCTGTGCATAGCTAATTTTTTCAGTCTAATCTGTCATGGTGACCCTTGGAAGTTTTTTTTATTGTTAGACTACACATAAACACGTACACACACTATCAAGGTCATTGTTTGTAGTTAGTTTTTACTAAAGAAAAAAAAAGAGCTCTCTTTTTTAGCATAGGAACAAACACCTGGGTTTTTAAAGCTTTCTTTTCCCCTTCAAAAAGAGGTAACCACCTGCCCCAACACATACTATGGCTATCCTCTTTGAGCCAAGTCTCCCCTTTTATTTCATTATGTTTGTGTGGCTATCCAGCTCCAGAAGCAGGACTGAGGCTCAAGCTACCATTGTGGCAACAAGCAAGTAACTCTGAGGGTGCTACAAGTTTTGTCAAACAGCTCACTAACCAGATTCTGAGGAAACAATGCATTGTTGTTCAGGTATTAAACCTTGGTGTTGAATTAAGATTTGGGGTTTTTTAGTTTGTTTCTGCACAGCAGCACCACTGTTGGTGCTTAGATGTTCTGACACATTAGGCACATATGAGTTTTGATGCACCTTGCTCTGCATAAGCTTTCTTGTACCTAAAAATGGTTGAAATGTTGCACTGTGCTACCAAAACATATTTTATGTAGTTATCTAGCCCTTTTTGTTGAAAGACTGGTTCACGTTGGAAATGTAACTGGAAAGTGTGCTTTCTCTGGGGACCTTTCGTATCGCATTACCTGAGGACTAAGAGAAAGGGCAAAAGATAGTGACAAAAACCTGGAGAAATTCTTACCTTAGCAGTTTTGTCCAGTTCCTAGCCCATGCAGCATGGAAAGCATAGTATCTGAATTAGAGACCACAGCTGACGATGGATTATATTGTTGTACCAGACATTTTGCTCCCTGACCCAGTTAGCTGAGCTGAACTCAAAAGTATGATGATGGGGACATTCAGGCTTATCGCTTGCTGGGGGTCTTCATGGCCAGCTGCCATGGATTTAGCTATATTTTTATGGTTCTGCTCCTACCTACAGGGTTGTTTCCAAAAAGTAGTCATGGGAGACACTGTTCAGTGCCATGGGAGCTTTCCTGTAGTGTCCTGCAGGGTTCTGTCTTATTTAAGATCTCAGTGAAGCTGCTGGGAGTTGTCATCAATATGTAGATGACACCTCTCTCTCTCTCTCTCTCTCTCTCTCTCTCTCTCTCTCTCTCACACACACACACACACACACACACACACACCTGAATCAAAGGAGGCAGCTGAGGTGCTAGACAAGTGTTTGTGGGGTGTGGTAGGCTGAGTGGGGGCCAAAATTGAAAGTGAATCCTGAAAAGATAGAGAGGTGTTATGAGTTCCAAGTTCTTGAATCTAGGAGGTAGGAAAACTTCCACTTGTAGATGGGATTATACTACTAGGAGCAGGTTCATGGCTTGCAGGTCCTGCTGGATTCAACATTGTTACTGAAGGCCCGGGTGGCCTTTGCGGCTAGGGGTTTCAGCTATGTTTGCTTCACCATCTAGGGCCCCTTTTGGATAGAGACTATTTGACTACAGTATTCTGTGCTCTGGTTGCTTCTGGATCATTGCAGTGAGTTCTACATAGGGCTGCCCGTGAAGATGACTTGGAAACTTCAGCTGGTCTAAAATGCAGGAGCCATTTTATTCGCTGTAGTTGCCTTTGGAACTCATATAACCCCTGCTGTAAAACAGCTGCACTGGTTTCCAGTTTGTTTCTGGATTCAGTTCAGGATGCCCACACCAGTGTTTAGAGCCCAAAACACCTTAACCCCCAAATATCTGAGAGACAACCTCCTTCCCTACATACCCTGTTGGGGGTTAAGATCTTCAGAGAGTGCCCTACTGGTAGTTCCATCATCCATGAAAGTTTGCGGGGAGTGACATGAAAGAGAGCATTCTCTGTGGTGGCCCCTAAGCTGTGAAATTCCCTTCTCACAGAGATGTTTCGTTTGGTGAAAGGTGAAGATGCACCTCGTTGCCCTCACCTTTGACAGCTGAGACGTGTGTTTTCAGAACCCACCTGATTCCTGTGGCTGCATTTGGTTCTAACTGTTTTTAATATCAAATTTTTAATTTTTGTGATTTGCTGGTGAATAAGTCCTCCTCCTGATCCCACAGAAGGCGCAAAGGAGAGCGTGGAAACCCAATGCTTCTTCACTAAGGCTTGCCATATCTAATTCATGTAGTGCTAAATTATGGTTTAATGTTTTGTGTGAAGACAACCAATAGTTGCAATCCTGTGCCGCATTGATGCAGATTTGATTAGTAACATTATTGCAAATTTACCAGCAGCCTTCTGGCTCATTACACTTTGCCGTTGTAGCCTTCTCTGCTGAACAAACAACTCTCTCTAGGTGAGCAAGGAGATAATTTATACTTGTTATGTATCTCTGCCATAGACTGATGATGGCAGTGGGGATTTAGACCCTGGAGTTCTGCTAAGTGCTCAGACCATCACTTCAGAGACCACCAGCAGCACTACCACTACCCAGATTACAAAGGTAAAATACAATAGTCTCAAGTGTGTGACCTCACTGATAAGCTATTTGCGTTGACAGGGAATGAGTTGTACAAACTCTAGTCTCTGTCTGTCTTTGGGTGACCCCTCTCTAATGGGATTGGCAGCTTGTGGCACATCAGAGTTTTACTGACTGTAGGGCTCATGTCTGCTTCCTTTTACTTGTCCTGTCAGTACTCTAGATGTGACACAGTCACCAGTGATGCTTCACTTAAGGTTTCAATCTAGGACAAATGGTATTCAGAATACTGTTGAACAGGATTTTCCCAACCATTTTCAACTTCTTTCCAATGGTATGGAAAGAAGCTGATGAGAATGAATCTCATTAAACATACATAACCTACCTTTCCCCCTAACGTGGAACTCAAGGCAGCATACATACTGTCCTCAGATGGTCTCCTATTCAGACACTGACCAGACCCACCTGGATCTTTCTAGCTTGGAGAAATGCATACTAACCCCACTTTGAACATCTTTCAACACGGAAGTCTTTTCCCAAGCTAGGTACACAGATGTTTCCAACTTGGGAGTTATTCACATGTTGTTAAAGTAATAAGTGGGCAGCTACCCCGAGAAGAGACCATTAGCTAACATTATCTGGGACACAGGGTTCATTTGAAATAACCAATAGAGCAAGCTCAGCACACTCTTGCTGGCAAAAGAAATGGTGTTTAGCTGTATGTGTCTAGCATATTCTCTCTGCTGGGGCTAGCCTACATTAAAGGACCCATTATGTTTTAGAAATCAAGGCCAGAGATTGCTGAGAAACACAAATTACCACCAGAGATTGCCAAGAAGCACAGATTACTACTGACCTTTGTATACTAGATGATAGTACTAAAGAAGAAAGCATCTCCAATACCAAGTCATTCTAAAGTGCAACAAATATATTTAGATAAGGCTTCAGCCATTATGTGGTCCCCATTATGTGCTTCACTTTGCTTCCATACTCCACGGTCCCTCAAGATGGCTGTAATACTGGAATGTTCATATGGTTCAACCAACCCGATTGTGTTAACGAGTCTATATGGATTTCAGATGACTAATGTGGAAAGTGGCTTTCAAACATTGTAGCTACTAGGTGCAGTGATACCACATGGAAATAATTCCAGATAGTCTTCACAATATGGGGGAAGCTTTACTACTTGGTGGAGATCTCTCCAGATACATCACATGTGAAAATGTGTGGCAGAAAAATATATATATGCCACGTGTGTTGCAATACAATTGACCCAAATGAACATGTAGTAGAGCAGCCGACTACAAGATAGTCATTATTTTTACCTCTTGTTTGCAGATGCGCTCTCCTCCAGCACCAATGTTACTGCTGCTGTTGGAAAAGCATCAAAGTTGAGGGCATCAAAGCTACAGTAAGCTTTTTCTTGAAGGCAGCCACCAGAAAGAATTCAAAGGCAGCTTTGTTTAAAGGAAATGTATTAGTCAAGGAAGCTAAAAGACCTCTCTGTTTTGAGGGATGATGTGACTGACAGTTCAATCGTTCCCTAATCTCAGTTATCCTCAATCCCATTAACTTGACCCTGGAAGGGAAATCCTGGTCCATGTTCCAGAAAGAATGCTTTAATCTTCATTGTCACCATCCTGTACATCACTCATTCTAGAATAGTTGCCACTCTTGCAACTTAAGTGATTTCTACAATCTTTATGAGTATGAATGCTGGTTTCACTTAGAGAAGTATCACCCCCTCACCCCAACATTATTTGCACAGAACCCTGTGGATTCAGCCTGCTCTTTCTTTGGGGTTTTACTTCTAATTAGGTTTAACTGAGTAATTGCCTCTACCTTTATACCGTTGCTCTTTGGTAGGGCAAGTTCACATATTACTTAAGGGAAGGGGCAGGAATAACATAATGAGCACCATTCTTTCCTAGGGCTTGAAAACATGTAAACCAGTAAAGTGAAAAAGGTCTTTTGTTTCAAGTTCCTTTGAGTTAATGAATAGTCAAACTTCTCTTTTCCTTGTCATTGATGTTGCCATCATTTTTCTTTATAAATGTTTTTCTTATTTTGGCTCATCTAATCTTTCCTGCTCTCAGTGCAAGATCTAAGTGCTGTTCTGACCATTCATACTTGAAGATATGTGTCTAAATGGAAATTCCTCCATCTCTTTTTTGCATACTTAGGATGTCAGCCGAGAAAAGTAATTTCTGAAACAATCTTATTTTGGTCTCTTAGGGAGCCCCTCACTGGACAACCTCTCCAATAATAGGAAGATAAGCAACTGTTTGTGTAACTTAGCTTAAAAGAGAATTCCGTAAACACTGTTGGATTAAAGGATGGCTTTCTCCACAGTTTATCCTCCAAAGTACTGGATATTTATAGGTCCATGTCTTCCTCCTGAGGGGAATTTATATTTAATGTTTAGGTGATGCATGGTTTCACTTAATAATGGAGAAGTATTCTTGTGTTAACACAGATAAAGGCATTTCAGAATGTTTATTATTATTATTATTATTAATACCCCACCTATCTGGGCAGCTTCCAACACATTTAAAAACATAATAAAACATCAACCATTAATAGCAACAATCTGATCCAATATTAAAAAGACATAACAACTTTTAAATTAACTTATATCAAAAAAGCAATATTCAATCATCCATTGAAATCTAATAGTAAACAGTAAAATTAAGCATCAGCGTATAATAAAAGTTTATGCTTATCAATTACAATAAAGAATTACTAATCTATAATCAATAAAATAGCAAATCACAGTGCATAAAATACCACAAAACATACAAAAAGACATTAAAAGGATCAAATTGGTACACAATCTAAGGTTTTCTGGGCTCCATTTCATTTGGACTAACAGAGTGAGAAGGTGAATAAATTTGCCAGTAGGTTAGGATGATGAGATTATGAAGGAATTGTGCTGTTAAGCATTTCTGTTCATCTTCCACAGCATTCCTTCAATGACTAGGTTTGTTGCTTACACACCTTTACCTCTCTTTGTTTTTGTACCAGTTCTCCTGGTGTATAAGCAGTGTTTGTTTGAATCTAAGAGTTTTCTGCTAGCATGAATTTGGTTGAAAGTGGAACTGTGACTTTCAGTCAAGTAGATAAAGTTTATTTTTAAAAAGGACTAAAGACGCATCTCAATCGTCCAGTGGATTTTTTAAAGTATCATTTTTAATACAAGTACTTGTATTTGCAAGCACCATCTTAAGGCAAATTCCCCTCTTCTTTCTCAATCAGGAATTGATGCTTGCTGTAACATTATCTAAAAGAAAGATTGCAGAATCTAAAAACAAAATATGTTTTTAAAACATGTTTTTTCATAAAAAGTGTTGCTTTTATTCATATGTATGTGTAGTCAAACAACTAAAACACAATGAATCCACTATGATTTCTCTAATTGGGTGGTAGTCCAAGTAGAAAGGCAAATGTTAGCAGGACTGTTTCAGATATTACTTTCCCCCCATGTAGATGTGACCATTCATCTTATCAGACCATAGGACAAAAACTTTTTTTCTACTTGCTCTTTCTTTTTTGTACTTGCTCTTTGTCTTTCCTCTCCCTCTATTTCTCTTAATGTGGAACTAGCTTTTTATGCAAAAACTGAATAGGGAAAGGAGGAAACAAAGATGTATATCTTTATAATGACTAGGTCAGTTATTAAGTGGACACACAAACTTTGTGTCTGATAAAGGTCTGCAAGATCTAAGTGCGGTTCTAACTATTCATAAATTGAAGATACGTGTCTATATGGAAATTCATCCATTTCTTTTTCTTTCTTTTTTTGCATTGTTAGGATGTCAGCAGAGAAAAGTAATTTCTGAAACAATTTTATTTTGATGTCCTTTATGTATTCTTACGTGTGCTGTAGTCTGCTTTTCTTAGGAGCCAGTATAGTCCTGAATGTTAGCTTTGGATCAAAGGAGTCTAGCCCAGGCCAGAGTGGAATCTAACATGTCTCCATTTCAGATCCCTGTTTTGAAAAAAAGGAGATAGTGTCCCTGAGAGCTTGGTCACTATTGTGGGTTTGAACAAGCTAAGAATTGTGTAAAACTCAGCCGCCATTGGGAGCCATATAAGTTCAACAACCTGTGATAGCAGTTATCACCCACTCCATTCACATTTCTCACTATGGCCTGATTCACATGTCTTGCTAAGCTAAACCATGGCTTAGCATAAGCATGTGGACTTCTGGGAAGGAAACTGCAGCTTCTTTGCTCCTTCTCAGTCATTCTGCTGCTGTGCTGAGCTGAGCCGAGCGACAGCTTGGTATAGAGTATCATTGGAAATTGGGATTGTGGTTTATGTCTCTTCAAACTAAGCATGAGCTGTAACCAAAGCTTTTCCTATTGCTTATGGCTCATGGTTTGCCTGGCAGAGTTAACCATGAGCCAGGGTTCAGATGACACTAAACCAAACCATGGCTTAGCCAGCACAGTGCAACAACAGAATGACCAGGAAGGAGTGAAACAACTGCAATCTCTTCTCCAGGAGCCCCTGTTCTCTCATGTTCACCATGATGTGCAAACCAGGCCTGTAACAGCAGTAGGAAAATCATTTGCATACCTATTAAGCTTACAATCATAGGAATTTGGGTGTCAAAGAGTGATATGCATCTAATCTAGATCTAATTATGAATCATTCCTGCTGACTTGACCTTTTGGTTGCTCTGATTGATTAACTAGGCTTGTTTTTCTCTTTAAAACTATTTTTAACATTTTGGCATTGTTGCATTGTAAGCTGTTTGTTCTCTCATAGACTGTGAAAGGTGGAATTTCAGAAACACGAATTGAAAAAGAATTGTCATCACAGGAGATGCAGACATTGATCATGATCAAGTAAGACTTTTAGTTTAGTGACTATTCTGAGTATGTGCACATTGTTTCTGGCACTTTTATCAATGGAGCAGTTGGCGGATCAAATATGCAAGATATATTGCATGACCTTTGGGGTCTCCAGAGGGATTTGAAAGTTCACCCATGATAAGATTCTAGCCAGATTCTGAACTCTGCCAACCTTTAGTGCATAGCTTTCATTCTGTACTGAAGAGACACTGCATTACCCTGGCCTTTGACATCTGAAATACATTTTTCAGACCTTCCCTATTTTTTTGTATTGTAAACTGTTTTAACTGGTTTAAATATCATATTTTTATATTGAAAGCTGCCCTGTGACCTTGCGGTGGGTCAGAAAAAGAACCCAATAAATATGCCACAACCTTGTTGCCCTAAATTGATCCAAAAGTGTTTTCCTTAATGATAGGTTGCAAGCCTTCATTACTATATGGAAAGTAGTTGGTAAAGTTAGATTGTGATAGGAAGCAAAATGTTGTTGCCCTAAACTCGATTCAAGATAGTTTGTTCTTTATGCCATCTTTCTTCAGGTTCTGGTACAGGCCATCAGAGAAGCAAAGGAGCAACACCCAGACATGTCTGTGACCAAGGTGGTTGTCCACCAGGAGACTGAGATTGCAGAATAAATAGCAAGACCAGCTACATATATTATCAGGTACTTTTCTTTTTTCCTTTCTTTTTTGTTTTGTTTTGTTAGCACTGCTGCATCTTGAAGCGTGGCAAGGTTTCACCTGTCACAACTGAAGGTTGTTTATTTCTAGCAGTTTTGAAGGAAAGCCTTTTCAAAACTTGTGCTTGGTACATTTTGACTCTGTCCTTGCAGGACTTTTAACAGGGAAGGCTCAGCAGCTGGTAGATGAGGGGCCAGGTCTGGACTTTGAATTCCTGTTTTGTAGGTCAACACTCCAGCCCCAATATATGACAAAGTGCTTCCATGTGCAAGAGGTCAGCCTGGCTGTGGTTGTAACTTTTCAAATCTGCTTGAAAGTTAGCTGCCACTAAGACTAGAGCAATGACACTAAATGCATAGACTTAAATAGGCTGGGCCTGCACAACATAAAGCCCACAGGCACAATGTGTAACTTCAGCTTTTGTAGCCTTCTAGGCCTTGCTCTTAAACCATTACATGTGGCCCATAAGCCACAAAGTGACTAAGTGAAGGATTTGCTTAAAGAGCTCGTGTGCTGTTACAGTTGATGCTAGAAGAAGTTCACAGGTTCAGAGGTCTGTCCCACAATTGTTGTGACTTTGCAATGGATGCTAATGCAGTCTGAAAGTTCCGCTTCCTTCTCCATATGCTGCCATGTATCTTTTAAATACATCACAAGTGTCTGCATTTTATTACCATGGATAGTTAATGTGGTATGAGTGCATGGGCAGTTAATGGACCTCACAGTTGTTTGAGTTTGCAGTCTTGCTGTAGACTTAACTATGATTTTGGGTGCCCATTGCAAGCTAACTGCTTTTTGTGGAACTGAACTCTGAACTCCCTTAGTCCACAAACAGTCACATACCACCCACATGTAATTTTGAACCTCCATGCTTGGTAGTTGAATCCTGAATTTAGGAGGGAGAGCCCCATCCTTTTAGTAGCCTTTCCTGCCTTGGGCTATTCAGTGTGGCGAGAGCCCTCTCCACAAGTCTTGACACTGCTTGCTCAGGTTTCCCACTGGGTGTTCCCCTTATGTGTTGGGTACATTGCCAACACTCAAAGAATGTTAACTTGAGAACACAGCTTTGCCAACTTTATTCCACCAGTGAAATTCAGCTTACTCTGTCTAGTCACTTTTGATTGGCTGCAGCAGAGCTTATTAAATCTGTGAGTGAACAGGAACTAGGCACTTGTAGAAAGAGGCCTCCTAATGCTACATATTCACAGAGCAGGATGCTCAGGTTTGAGGTATGCATTAATGCACCCAAAAAGGTGTGTGCATGTGTGCATATGGCGATGGGCAGGAAGATACAGACAATTTACCAGTAGATGTTTCAGAATTTCAGACTTGTTTTCTACTGATTGGTAATTTAGCATAAATTTGTGTTTCCCTAGGCGATGTCTGTTTCAGTCTGCGGAGGCCACCCGACATATACCAGCAAAACTACAAGGAAGCTACCTTGGAGCACCATGACCTCAAACTTGCCAGATTTACTCTCAGTCAAACATTCTATCATTTATTACTAGGAAGTTGTGCTTTTTGATGTTTACTTCGGATTCTCCTTAACACAGTGGATCCTTTTTGATTATCATTTTTATATTGTGACCGACAGTATGCCATATTTTTCACAGTACTGGTTTTTTTTTTTTTACAGTTTTGCAATCCCCCACCCCACTTTTTGCATTTTTGCATTTCCTTTCCCGCCACCTTTTCTGGATCTGTATTATGAAGTCAGAGGCCCACACAAAAAGAACATGTAGAGCTTATCGAAAGTGATTGCCTTTGATTGAACTGCATTGCCCTTCTTCCTTCTTTTCCTCCTCAAGCAGTTTGCATTCTCACATAACTTTGAACATGTTATAGTGTGGGGGTCTCAGTGACCTAGAAGTGACCCCTCTTGCCTGAGAAGTCAGGAAAACACTTGTGCAATGCTTTGTCTTGGCTCTTGTGGATCTGAGATATATTCAGAATTTCCTAATCACAGCTATTTATATATGCCAGGCGCAAATGTGCCTGCCCTCTTTTCCTCTGGATTTCCCTTGCTTTTTGTTGGTTTGTCAGCCCCTTAGATGCTTGAATATAGCAGGGGGTTGTGGTATTTGCACAGGTATTTCAGTAGTAGTCTAGATTCAGAAATGATGGAAATTGCTTCACCTTTTATACTGTGAATTCTAGAGGTTTTAATCAATTGTGACAAGGCACCATGTTTTTCCAGCTCTCTCCTTTTTTCTTCTTTGCACTCCTTGGAATACTAAATCTCTTGTAAATTCACTCTCCTATTTCCCCCCTCTTTTGTTCTCCATTAAATTAAGCCTATTAGAATTGTGTGTTTAAGAGGTGTGGGCTCTACACACTATGAAATAGGCTGTAATTTATAACAATAGGATGGGGTGTTCATTTATTTTCTTTTTCTCCTTCCCAATTGTTTGTGTTTTGAGTTTTGTGGTTTTGGTAGCATAGTTTTAAAATCATTGGTTTTTAAAGCACTATTTAAACTTGGCACACTGGTAACATATCACAGGAAGGGATAAATGAAGCACAAGTCATCCCTTAGAGACAATCCAGCATTCCTAAATCTGTATTCTTTAAGCAGGCAATTACAAAGGCATCATCAGTATTGTAGATTGTTTCCAATGATTGCTGTTAAAAACTAAGCCTGTACATGTTGCAAGTCACTTAATGCTCCTTATAAGACAATATAATAATTTGTAGTTCTTCTTGTGCACAGTCCCTAGAGCATACTACTGTTGCACCTCCTTCCTTTGAGTCATTGAGGTCATACAAAACTTATTGCATAAGGCTGCTGAAATGAATGGTGGATGCTGCATTGCTACCATGCTAAATGAAATAACAAACCCCAGGATTGGCTGCAGTTCTCAAGATCTTAACCTAGGTGTGTTCTGATTGGCTATCACTAGAGAATGTTGAATGCCATAAAAAAAAAATCCAAATTAGAACAAGAGCAGATTTAAGTTAGTTTTTCTCTGTGTCGGTTTGTTTCCACCCAAAATAACTTTTTCTCCTTATGACTTTAAAAGTACACTTTTAAAACAAATCTCACGAAAGGTAGTTGGTATCAGTACTCTTAACTGGGGAGCAGTTTCATTTCCTTTAAATGTTTTCCCCATGTAGGAAGAATGAGAGGATTCCAAATTAGGATGCAACATGTTCTTCACAAATAAGATGAACTTCCTCTCCATGCTTAGTTGAAAGATTTCCTTGGCAACACTAAAAACTGCAGGCTTGTTCTTTCCTTCCAGCAGCATGTAAAAGTTCTGTAGAATTATGAGTGATATTTTTTCTGAGAGGTATGAAGTTGAAATTCTTTTGAGTGCACCACCTCAAAGCTGAGGGGCGGGATGAGGGCTGATTCTAGCATTTAAGTGAAGAGGAATGCCTTCTGCTGTTTAAAGAAAACAAGTACACACATTGAAAAGAATCTGATTTCAGTGAAAACGAGCAGTTGTGTGGAAGCTATATTATCATACCGCATGTCTACTTTCCCCCTCAGTTTTGAGTAGGTTTCAGTTAGGGAGTTAATACAGTCTTATTTAGAGTTTGAAAGCATTATGGACGTGTAAGAGTTTAGCACTGCTCAATCAGCTTTGCTCCAATGTGCTCTGGGGTCCCGTCAGCCACAACAAGCCTTCAGTGGTTGCCATCTGATGCACTTAGCTGTGAGTAAAGCCCAGCTGGAAACAACAGACTTCCTTCCAAGTGAACAAACTTGGGCTGTAACATTATTTGTGGGTTTCTATATGCCCTTCTCTTTACAAATAGAACTAATGGGCTACCTTCCTAAAAATCTTAGACTGAACTTTTAAAAATAAAAATAAAAAATCAACCCATAGCACTTAAAAAAATTATTTATTGTGGAAGACAATTTTGGTTGTGTCACTTTCTCTAGTGCAGTGTTTCCCAACCTTGGGCCTCCAGCTGTTTTTGGACTACAACTCCCATCATCCCTAGCTAGCAAGACCAGTGGTCAGGGATGATGGGAATTGTAGTTCAAAAACAGCTGGAGGCCCAAGGTTGGGAAACACTGCTCTAGTGCATAATTCTTCTGCAGCTTCCTTTTCCTCTGCTATTAAAAGCTTTAAGCACCAGCTATAAAATAGTTCCATAATTCTAAAGATGGCATCTTTATGAAATCTCAAACTTTACTACAATTGCAGCACTGTTACACATTTATTAATGGAATTATTGCTTTTTCAGTATGTTATTTGAAGGTATGTCTTGTCCTTCCTTGAGCTGTCACTCAGCATGATTTTTAACTTTTTGTATCCTGTGGCTAACTAGCTGGTGAAGTCCTGTTCTATTTTAAAACTCTACTTTCAGACACTTCTTTTGCATGAAGTTTGGATTTCCCATTAAACAGGAATTTACTCTTATCTAATCAAGGGCATGCTTCTCAGATTGTCCCTTCTCCTGACCACTGACCTACCTATTGCTTTTCCAGTTTAAGAGCTCACCACCCCTTGTGTGCAGGAACCTCATCCAGCAGACACATTGCCCCTCCCCACCAGTTTTGCGCATAGGGTGTGTTTAAGTGGGGGTGATTCCGACTTTCCATGCACCCCAATGCTCTCCTGTCCTATATAGACATCTGATGTTAGCTTCTTTTGCACATTCCCGTCTTCCCCTTCAGGGTGTAAATATTTAGCATTGCTTAAAAATCCACTCAAATCTTAATCATTCAGAATCACAAGGGAAGAAAGCAAGTGTGAGAAACAATCCTGGGAGGAGACAGTAGAAATGTGGGAAGACATAACTCTGAAGGTAAATTACTAAGTAAGTAACTCATTGAGGGCCACCCAAGTTTCTTTTTGAAATAGTTTTTTAATCCATCACAGACCCTCTTGGCAAAAGTCTAAGGCATTTAGGACTAACAGCCTTAGGTGATGGAAGTTGGTCTTGCTTTGTCTGATGAGTAGTAAGCTTTCCGTCTCCAACAGAAGATCCCCTACCTTCCTTTAGGTTC